AAAAAAGACTGAAATAACAGTTTTCTCTAAAATTTTATTGGGTAACTTAAACAATTAATAATCCGTATTTCTACCGCGAACACTAACAACACAAGAACATCGGTTTGGCATACTCAAAATGAGTTCATCCAAATCACGCTGTGGAATGGCCGCCCATGTTCGTTGCAACAACAAAAAAAGGTCTTCTTGCGACTGGATACCCTCCATATTCGGCAGAGCTCTTCTCTGTAGCATATCCCATGCATGCTCAATCGGGTTCAAGTCTGGCGACTGAGCAGGCCAGGGCAGGACATTGATGTTAGCTGCGGCGAGAGTCTGTCTTACAACTCTTGCGGTGTGCGGTCGTGCATTATCATGCATTAACTGAAATAAGGGACCGATTTGCACTTGTAGAGGAACGATGACGTCTGATACAATCGTCTCAGCATAAATTTGAGCGTTGAGGTTGCCTCTGATCCAAATCAACTCAGTTCTTCCGCCGATCCAAATACCCGCCCATACCATGATGGTTCCACCACTATAAGGATGGACTTCCTGGCAGGATTTTAATCGCTGTTGGCATCCAGGGGTTCTCCAGTGTCGTATACGTCTTGTATCCGGTCTCATACCAAAACGAGACTCATCAGAAAAGCACACGAAACGCCATTGTTCTTCTGCCCAATTTCTGTGTTCAAGAGCCCATTGATATCGAATCCTACGATTGTGCATTGCTATAGGTGGTACCCGTAGCGGTCTTCGGGAATGAAGGTTCACTTCATGCAAGCGGTTTCTGACTGTTTGGTCGCTAACTAAGTTCCCTGAAGAGTGATGAAGCCTCACGGCTAACATCATGGCGGTTATTGTTGGAGCTCTTCGAGTTAAGATTTGAATGTATCGGTCTTGTCTCCGTGTGGTGCAGCGATACCGTCCTCCATGGCGCTCAGCCACGGTACCAGTGCTTCGGTATCGTGTCCAAAGTCGACTGATAACACTCTGACTTGTATTCAGAGCTAAAGCCACAGTACGTTGCCGGGAACCAGCTTCTATCATTCCCACGGCTCTGAGCATTTCTTCCCTGCTTAAATGACGTCGCCGCTCCATAATAACGTTGGTTTTAATCAGTAGTAGGGAAACAGTAGCACTAATAATGTCTTCAATGCGTTGTATGTTTTTATAGGGAAAATATTGACAGCTGATTTTCATCTTTTACTCGAATTTGATTCACAGTTCCTGATTCAAATTATGAAATGCACCAAAAAGGATCTATATAAATTTATAAAATCATAAATTTATTACAAAGCCACATCTCAATCTCAAGAAATCCGCATAAAAATGCTTGATCCCTAGACACTTTTGATGTGTGTATAATATATTTTAAGTTAAACTGCACATAAACGCCAAAGCTGCAAGTGCATGCAAAAGATTTGTTGGTGAAATTAATAAATAAATGTAATACAATAATTTACTTATGGATTCATTGCTAACACTTTTAAACATTTCGAGAAAAAAAAGTATTTCAGTTTTGCCCCATACATTTTTTTCTTAAATATTTTTTTTTGGCGAAAATATACGATTACATGAAATCTGCTAGAACAAAAGTTGATGAGCGTTCACTTATCTGTCCGCATTAATTTTTTCAGCGCGAAATATTAACCTTGGTCCCTTAGACCACTATATTCAAAATCCGGACCACTGTGAGTCGGTGCATTTATAGCTCGTCACGTACGGACCTCCTTAAGCTCCGTAAAAACTTTTGTTCGACTGCATGTCGCGTCCCTACGCCGTTGCCTAACTCTCCGCTCATGTGTCTTTCCAGAACGACCAGTTTCATATTTTCAAGAACCACTGGATTGTCGACCTTATTATGGATGATCGCATGGCAATGCAAAGTCAAAGAGATTTTCAAACGCGAGGTGAGAGTATCCTGCTCCACCATGCAGATACAAACAGATGGGTACATATGTACATAATAACCATACAATCACTTATAAATATACCTGAGAAATTTGACTTGTATCTTCTCAATCATTTAATTGTATTTATGTTCATACGGGTCCCAAATAATCGCGTTGGTTCCAGTTTGCTTCTGACGTATGCATTAAACAAAATGAAAGGTATTCTAACGTCGCTGAATTGTGAGCTCAATCTCATTACAAAGCCTGCTGCATTTTTGCATATTTCCTCAATGTGTTTCCGGAAGTCTAACCGCGAATCTAGTTTAAGCCCTAGTCCCAAATCTCAGGCATAGTCTGTAGAGTACTAGTGTTGGGGGTGTACCTAAAGACAATCAAGTTACTGGATCTGATGAACGTCATGATACTACACCTTTGCTCATTAAATTGTTGACGGTTTACAAGAGCCCATTTGGCTACTGCATCGATATCGTGCTGCAGCAATGAGGGCTACCGTTTTCTGCCTCACCAGATGGCGCCACTGTTGAGTGAGGTCCTAAATTGTAACTTTTAAAGTTTATTAATACGCACCTGAAATCAAAGGTTACATTTAGATCGTATTTTAACACAAAAGAACCATATCCTAAACATAATAGGCCATGCCACAGTGACGCGCAGTTTCGTTTTATTCGGAAAAAATGGCCGACAGCGTTTTTGTATGTCCATGAAAAGTCTATTTTAAAATTAAAGATTTGTAGCTTTCTAGGTTTAAAAAAAATACAATACATTTTTTTTCGGTCTAATAGAACATTTATTAACCATTTAAAACCTTTTTCCAAAAAGGTTGAGGGGATTATCTATGCTATGACGTGAACTGTGGTAAACAAAAACTCGTAAACACGTAGAAAATTACTTTTAACTGAGTTTATAATAAAAAAAACATGATTTCTAATAAATACCACGAAAAATAAAGTAATTATCATTACTGTATTGTACGAGAATATAAAAACACATCCTTGAAAACTCCAGGAAAGTTGTGGATTAAAGTGCCGAAAGAAATTAACCTACGCAACTTTATTACACTTATTCATATTTTGTATCAGTTTTATGTTTATTACTACATTGTAATACTAAATGCACTGTACTTACATAGATGCCTTGTCGTTTCTCTGCTCCGCAGAGCAGAAATCGGGGTTTAGTGCAACAAATTCACCAACCATCAATGCGTCAATTCTTGGCAGATTTGTGCTTTCTGCTTTCACAAAGCCGGCATCCATAATTAGTTTTGTCAAAAAACTGTTTTTTTCTTTCCTAAAGTTAAAAGTGTTATAAGATAAATTTAGTCAGACGAAAGAATCCACCTACAGTAACACGCGAATGACATTTAGTTGTTTACCACAAGAGACGTCAAAATCATGGCGGATGTGGCGAACAGCGTTTTTAGTGTTTAAAAAATATAGACTAAAAATTTTTTTTTTTAATTAAATTTCTACAGCAATCTTTTGCTTTTATGAAGTGAAATCGACCAACCTTAATACATAAGGTTCCTTAGACTAAATACTTTAAGAAATAAATATTTATTTAATACAATTCGACGTGAGTAAACTAGCCTATTGCTTTCGCATTCAAGTTTTGCGATATACAATATTTTTGTTCCGCTGCTCGAGGGCCAAGGATTTTGACTGGTTATCCAAGAATACCGATCCAAAATACATATTCAGCAAATGCGTCTACAACATCTTGGCCTATTACAACTTTATCCCCAAATGTATACTCTACTAGTTTACCTCGGTTCACAGTAGGACACGGCATTCCTAAACTTTTTTTATTTTTAAATCTGTTTTTTATATTTTTTATTTTTAAGTCATAATTGTTTTATCATTTACATTTGTAATGGAAAGTGACTTCATGAGTTATCCCATATTGAAGTCATTTTTCAAATTGACGACTCTGTATAATATAATACAGGGAGAAAAAAACAGCCCTTGCTGAGTTTCTTGCCGGTTCTATCAGTACAAGGTCTCCCGCTGTAGATTTGCGAACCGATGGCGTAGCTTTTCGACATTCACAAGTGCTTGTAACAGCCTAGACTGAATAAACGATATTGAATTTTGAATTTTATAAAAGAATTAAATAAAATACTTTATTAATAAAATTAACTAATAAATTCATACATAGACAATAAAGTTTTAAAATCTTCCAATAAAATATCCGAATGCTGAATAAAAGTCTTTTGAGGGGAAGGTAAGAGACTGATGTAAAATTTAGTGTTAAGTTTAGAGAATCATGTCAGAATCGACACCACTTTCTCTAAAATTGCCGTTGCTAAGTTATTGAACAATGGTGTCGATTCTAGCATGATTCTCTAAACTTAAAACTAAATTTAACATCAGTCTCTCCTTTTCATTCTGTATAGAGAATGATAAGGATGCACTGTTGTCAAATTTAAGTTTAGGTTTAGAGAATCATGTCAGAATCGACACCATTGTCATATGTTCACTAAAATTAGAATTGGTGCCAATTCTGGTGTGATTCTCTAAACTTAAAACTAAATTTAACATCCGTCCCTCCTTTTCATACTGCATAGAGAATAACAAGAATAGACTGTTGTCAAATTTAAGTTTAGATATAGAGAATCGTGCCAGAATCGACACCACTGTCACACTAAATTTAAGAAGGACCTACGGTGGTCCTCTCTAAATTTAAATATGAATTATTGAGGTCAAATATTACGTAAATGTTTGCTGTACTTAAGTTTTGATGTTGTTGTTAAGGTTTGATATGGGTTTAGTTCGTTAAAAAAACGTCATAAATTAATACAATAATGGACGACGACGTTTATTTATTTATCTATCTTTCGTTGATAATATATCTAATATAAGCTAGATATTTAAAATTTTGAACCTCTAAACCTAAGCTAAAATTTGCTCTCCAATTTTAAGTTTATGTTTAGAGAATGTAACGTCAGAATCGGTCCCACTGTTGTGAAATTAAAGTTTAGGTTTAGAGTATCACGACAGAATCGACACCAGTATAACGATTTTAGTGGGCAGCTCTATCGTAATGCCGCTTTCGCATAGATTTATGATGTTATGCCACAGACATAATAGTTGTGTTATGCACATGAATGACGTTTCAAATTCGAAACCACTGCCACTGACAGTGACACTGCTCTACGGTGATTTGCCTTTTATTTCCAAAAATAGATGAAAATACACGCAATATATTTCCTTTAGTAATTTTTGTAAAGCATTACAATTTTGTATTTTTTGTAGAACATTCATTAATTCTTTTTGTTACTGTTAAGAAACAAAAGGAGAGTACCTTCCTTTTGTTCTTTTCCGATTGTTTTCAACTATTGGCAGTCAGAAAATGGAAAATCAAACTTGTGTATTTTTGGGTATTAAAGTAAAACCAGGTCCTATAGAACGCCATAAATTAGAGAATTTTGCTCTCGATAATACTGTTGACTCGCTCAAAACGGAAGCTGAAAAAAAGTCTAATATACCGTCTTCTTCATTGGGTAAGTCTTTTGAAGTTTCGTTCTATTATTATTATTTATTTTGTTAATCCAATCCCATATATGGAAAATCTCTTATACCATAACTGTAACATTTGCTTTTACAATTGTATATTTTTTGTGGGCATGATGATTAAATTGAGGTAATAAATATAAATTTAATACTTAAAAGCCATTGTTTGGACTCCAAAAGGTTCTTGGTTAATTTGTGAGTCAAGATATTATGTTACTATAGAAGAAATAAGTAATTTACCAATTTATATAAAAATAAATTGTCATTGTTTAGACTCAAAAAGGTTCTCGGTTCATTTGCCCACAAATTTGAAACAATATAAAATACCCTAACAATACTAGTACTACAATATTAGATACAACAACACAAACATAAACATGGCCAAACCTATCCAAAAGGTACATTGAACGATCCATGGAGCTCTGTAAGATGATCGCATAGTCAAAAACAATAAAAGACATTATTTAAACATAGAAAGTCACCTTTAATGCATATTGTATAAGGTCTTAATTAAGATGCATGCGTCAATGAGTTAAGACAGTTGGAAATGCAAGCTCATGAAATTTTACGGCTGCTATATGCGGAAGAACATAGGGGTTGGATTTAGAAACCAGTCACCTGAATTTGAGGCTACTGGATGTGTAAGGGGTTAAAGTAATATGGTTTTGGACTCCCTAAAGTAACTTTGGTTGCCGAATTGCGAATAAATATTGTAAAATTTTAAAAAAATCGTAAAATAAAATTGTAAATGAGAATTGTTGTCTTTAAAGCGAAATATTAAATAAATGCGTGGATCGAAATGCAAACCGCCATTTTGAATGTAGATTTTGTCAGATACGTTATGCGTCATTCATTGCGTTGCTTTTTAGTTTTCGTGAATGTGTATATAATTTGGGATATTTTAAGGATTTGGCTATGTTGTTCAGTGTGTGACATTCGTTGAAGAAAACAGATTGGTGTTAACTAAAAACTATGCAGAACACATCGTGGCTAAACTGTACTTCCAGGGCCCAAGTGGTGATACTTCACACTAGGTTAGGTTAGTGTTGTGACTAGAGGTGGTTAATATAGCGTCTAGCGCCATATTATAGCACGCTATCTGTCCATAGCACGTAACGCATGCTATTTAAGAAAGCTACAAGACGGTATGCGTTATGGAGCTTATGTTGAGTTGAGTGACCGCGAGGCAGCGGATGGCGCTAGACGCGACGCTACCAGGCAGGCACAGGCCTGCCAGTGATCGCATGTGCGTTGTTAGCAACGTAGGGTTAACGTTTATTTTCGCAGCGTCGCAGCAGAAAAATATTTACTATCGCGGACTATTTCAAAGTGTTTTCTAATATAATAACATTATTTCTTAATAAGATATTGTGTTTATGACTTCTTTATAAAATAGTGTAAATATTAGCATATTATACAAAACAATATTGCAAATAAATTTTTTTCATTTATATTATTTCGCATACCAACCTTCAAACTCAATTAAAAATTTTGTCTGCCTGTCAACAGAGCTCCACGTTGACATACAATTTATATTCAAATGAAAATGTGCGTTATATTTACAAACATTAATATACTTTAAATGAAACATTTATATACTATTTAAGTTATATTTTTCTCTAACAAAAATAAACTTTATTACATAATATAGAAAGTTTCATAAATGTACTTGCGATTGCACACTCCATCTAAAGAATTTTAAGCAAACTATCCTAAAGGTCAGATAATTTAAAAGCACAGATGCTACAAAAGCATTGCCGTAATCGTACAGAAGAATGCTTAATTTCTCGATAGATGGTAGCACTAAAACGTTTAAAAAATATTTACATATTTTACGAAGATTATATTCTAAGAGCCAGTGATCCGCAGACTTACGGTATAGTAGCAAACTTCATATTAATGCTAGTTATACTAATTCATCTGCCGTAGATCAAATGTTGGTTCACTATTCCCATAGAGGGTTCCTTTAGGCGTGCCGAGAAGTCGAAAAGCATGAAAATCGACTTTCAAAAACGTGATCGCAGCATGTCTGCCGTTTTGATATCTTAAAATATTTATTTTTTTATATAGAAAAACTTAATGGCAGACACTTGTTGCGGTTCCTTCTATATTTTATAATTAATATATCATAGTTTCCAAAATTTCATAAAATTTACGTTATTTTAGCAAAGCTAAAAATTATATATGTTATTAATATTATTATTATACATGTATATCTAAAAAGCCAGACAGATAGGTCGCTATGCTAATGGAGATATACGATATTGACTTCATCTCTCTTCATTTCGCAGGGAACTAGTGTTTCGGCAAAGCTACAATTTATGTATGTTCTTTACATCATTATTATACATGTATATCTAAAAATCCAGACAGATAGGTCGGTTTCTTAAATGCAGGCAGACTACATAATACTTTCGCAGTTATGCTAATGGAGATATACGATATTGACTTTCTCTCTCTTCGTTTCGCAGGGAAGTAGTGTTTCAGCAAAGCTACAATTTATGAATGTTTTTTACATCATTATTATACATGTATATCTAAAAACCAGACGATAAGTCGGTTCTAAAATGCAGGCAGACTACATAATAGTTTCGCAGTCATGCTAATGGAGATATACGATATTGACTTTCTCTCTCTTCATTTCGCAGGGAACTAGGGTTTCAGCAAAGCTACAATTTATGTATGTTTTTACATCATTATTATACATGTATATCTAAAAAACCAGACAGATAGGTCGGTTCTAAAATGCAGGCAGACTACATAATAGTTTTGCAGTCATGCTAATGGAGATATACGATATTGACTTTCTCTCTCTTCATTTCGCAGGGAACTAGGGTTTCAGCAAAGATACAATTTATGTATGTTTTTTACATCATTATTATACATGTATATCTAAAAAACCAGACAGATAGGTCGATTCTAAAATGCAGGCAGACTACATAATAGTTTCGCAGTCATGCTAATGGAGATACACAATATTGACTTTCTCACTCTTACTGGCAATGACAGCGAATCAGTATGAATACATGTGAACAGTGTTTTGTTAATTTTATAATTTAGAACTCTTATTTTCAATCATAAATATAGTTTTTATTAGGAAATCAATATTTTTTTTTCACTTACAATAAGTTTGCTATTTATTTTGTTTCAGCACAACGAACAACTCTTAATTCAAATACAGAATAAACAAAATTAATATTGGCTACAAAAAATCAAAATATTTCACTGTTCTTCATCAGAACTGCAGAATTCCGATGACTCCATACAGCACTCCAAATCTTCCAAGTTTTTGAAATTTTCATCGCCTTCGTCATCAGAGATACTACATTCTGTAAAAAATAAAACATTATACATCATGGCAAATGCGACTCTATTAATAGTAACAGGATATTTTATTGAATTTCATTGAATTACCTGATGGACATTGGACCGAATCGGCTACTAAACCTGGCAGCTGATCTCCATCAAACCATTTGAATAAATATTTGTCTTGATGATTAATCCACCCATATTCTTTTGGATGTAATGTTGCCGGGCATCGTTTATCAGCATTATTCCAAATATTTGATATATATATTGTTCGTAGGAAATGTTGCCACAGCTCACTCTTGCACGGTGGTAAACTGCTTCCATCAAAATTGCGGACTTTAATACTAAATTGTTCGTTGATATCAGCAGCCTTATATGTATCAACGAACATTTCACAAGTAAATTTCTGAATAATAATGATGATTTTATTTATTCTAGTCTCTGTTAAATTATAATCGCCGAGAGCTGCAAAAGCTTCTTGATAACTAGTGTTTTTCTTTCTTTAATAATGAGAAAGGTCTTTTCTTTCCTTTATTATAAAATGAAGGATTGTAATCGCAGCCAGTGAAAGCATGGAAGCCAAGTAAGCTTCTACAAGTTAGTTCACCTAGATGTTCGTGAATTCTTGTGACATCTATGATTCGTTCATTATTACCTATTCCTATCTGCATCCAAACATGCGAAGAAGTATTTTTTAACTTATGCATATTACCAAGCATCATCACAAGTATATCGGTATCAGAGCCTCTGATAACGATATTGGCTTCATCACTGATGCTACATGCGTGATAAATAATTTTACTATCAGCTTCTTCGTGCAACTCACAACATAAATCCTGAACAATCTTTGATTCGACTTTATTTCCATTACCAACATATGAATAACACTGTCGGAAATTAAGATGTACAGTTTTGAAAAAAACAATTACAGAGGAAAACAATTATTTTATTCAAATAGGTTCCGTAATGAATAGCATATTTTCGTTTCTTAGGTTTTCACGCACATCACTCATTAAATAAAACTAGATTTTCACGGGTAACTTTATTTATTTATTGACGTTTCGCAGCCTTTACAGGCTACATTTCATTTCATTCTGACGAAGCAGCCTGTAAAGGCTGCTAAACGTCAATAAATAAATGAAGTTTCGTGCATTAACCCGTGAACAACTAGTTTTATTTAGCATATATTCATCAAACCTGGTCTATCATTTTAACCACGGTGCTGGAATACTGAATCCCTGCGAGATGAAGAGAGAGAAAGTCAATATCGTATATCTCCATTAGCATGACTGCGAAACTATTATGTTGTCTGCCTGCATTTTAGAACCGACCTATCTGTCTGGCTTTTTAGATATACATGTATAATAATAATATAAATAACATATATAATTTTTAGCTTTGCTAAAATAACGTAAATTTTATGAAATTTTGGAAACTATGATATATTATAAAATATAGTAGGAACCGCAACAAGTGTCTGCCATTAAGTTTTTCTATATAAAAAAAATAAATGTTTTAAGATATCAAAACGGCAGACATGCTGCGATCACGTTTTTGAAAGTCGATTTTCATGCTTATCGACTTCTCGGCACGCCTAAAGGAACCCTCTATGGGAATAGTGAACCACCATTTGTTCTACGGCAGATGAATTAGTTTAACTAGCATTAATATGGAGTTTGCTACTATACCGTAAGTCTGCGGATCACTGGCTCTCAGTCTATTAGATAGAAGCTTTGTAGCGATTAACGAGCAAGAAATAAACTATAATATACATATTAGAAGATATCAATTAAATGATAATTTACAACATCATTATACCTATATAATTCCTATTCAAAATGAGTTAACTGAAGCTTTTGTATCAAGGGAATCGGAAAAAACGAAAAAACAATCAGCTGGACCCAAGAAAAAAAAAAATATAAGTTAACCCAACCAGGGATCGAAACCGGGACCCCGCGAGATTGCGGGGTTGTTACAAAAAACCTACCTTGCTTTTGCGATAGATAGCAGTAAAAATGCTGCATATTCGCGATAGATCACTAAAGAAATAAAAAAGAACGAAATATTTATTTAATTTATGAAGATTAGATAGAAGCTATATAACGATAATGACCAAGAAATAAACAATTAACAACCCCATATATAAAAGACGATATCTAAATAAATAAATATTTGCAGAACATATGTTGATATTCAAAATAAGTTAGCTAAAGCTTTTGTATTAAGGAAATCAAATCGGAAAAATTGACGATACAACAATCAGTTAGACGTGCAAAAATAAATAAAAAAATAAGTTGACCCGACCTGGGATCGAATCCGGGACCCTGCGAGATTGCGACGCTATACATAATAAAGTACAACGAGAGCTAGCGCTGCAACGCGCCAAACGGACCGCCACAAGTTTCCAAGTAAATAGCGCGCTATAAAAAAAGGCGTATTTATTAGCGCGCTATTTAAAAGAAGCATATAGTTTGCAGCACGCTATTGCTTTATAGCGGCTTTGAACACCTCTAGTTACCATACCGCGCGAGCCGAGCGAGCGAAGCGAGCGTGCCGCGGCAGCGGCCGGCGAAGCTCCAGAAAAAAAAATTTTTTTAAGAGACCTTTTTTTATGAAAGTTAGAAATGACCGGATATAGTGAGGGGGATTCAATTCCCTCCCAATAAGATTATAGTCTTTCTTTGCTGCATTGGTTGAAAATTATTAATTAGACCCTTGTGAAAATGACGTCAGTACATGTCAAGTTTGATGAAATCTTTCAATTGAGTACCCTGTTTGAAATAAAATAGATAGAAAAAAAGAGTCCTTGCTGAGTTTTTTGAGGTTCTTTTCAGCACAAGGCTCTCTCCTTTCATTTACAAAGCAATTTCATAAGGTTCACAAGAGCTTGAAATATTTGAATTTGAAAATTCTTTTCATCATCTGTAAGTGTGAGTAAAGTAGAAGTGGCATATGCTTCAACTATCTTGAACACTGTTACAGAATTGATTCATCATGGAAAAATACTTAAGTGTGATGCTACGCTACAAGACTGTGGTGTGAAGAGTGGTGAAATGATACATGTTGTCAAAAAGAAGGTTCTGCCTCCTCCTCCTACCCCACCTTCATACACTGATGCTGAGCTGCAACAGTTAAATACTTCTTTAAGGACTTTAGGCTGTACACCTAATGCCCCTGGTTGGACCAGAGCTATGCAAGTAGGTACCCTCTTTTCATTGTATAAAATATTATATTTATTTATTTACTCTTTATTGTTTTTTAACAAATGACGAACTTAATGCCACATGGCATTCTCTACCAGTCAACCATAGGGCTGAGCAGAGACATTATTAATTAAATAAAAGCAAAAAAGTAAAAAAAATAAAGAAAAAAAAAAAATTGTTAAAACTATATGTTACTTAATATAATAGTTATAATGTAACATCTATAAATATACCTACACAACTATAACTATATATATCTTAAGATTACTATAATAAAACAAAACACTATAACTTTATGGTTATAGTTTGATCATCATCCTTAACTATATGTTGCCAACTGTTGAGCATAAAGCTAAGTTCAGTTTTTTACACACAATAAGATTTTCTAATTTGTTACAGTATGGGTAAAATTTATAGTTAATACAGTATAGTATAGTCAATACAGAGATGGGCAAAAGTTATTGAAATAATGAATGAACAATTTTTCCGTTTTTATTCATCTATAATAAAAAAAAATATACATAGAACATTTATTTGAATGATGATTAAAACTATTTATTCATTATTCAAATAATAAATAAAAACAAAACAAGGAATACATTATTTTAATCAATTAGCAAGTTTGTCAGTAATTATGATAATTTCCTAATGTTTGTTTTCATTACTACTTTGTCCTTTAATATGTTTAATATTGAATTTAGTGCATTCAAAACATAGTCTCCTTCCTTATAAGCTACTACTCCTTTACCTTTAATATTGCAAATATTGTCTTCTTTATCATCTATTAGGCCCTAAAAATCAGAATGGTAAACAAGATTTTGGCTATGAAATAAATTTTGATTTCTCCAATTCTAATCTGCTAGACATGCAAATAGACCAAGAGCTACTGAATCCTCCGAGTAACGGTCTATCTGTAAGGCTAGAAATTCTTATGGTGATGAGTCAAAGCATGCTTAGTACGGTAAGCATCGCCTGGCACTCCTCCGCCCTGCACGTCATCAAGCCTTTTTTTTTTGTTGACGATGGAAAATGCATTTACGCACCGTACCGCGCCGGTCCTACCCACTAAAAACCACCGGTACCCTCCTACGCCCATATGGGGGCGTCTCAGGATCAGCGCACCTTAGTGTGCGCTACTTCACTGGGACGCCCCCGGGGCACGTCATCAAGCCCTAGATATTCGAAATTTTCAAAAATATTAAAAAAACAACTTGTTGCTGTATGCTGGAAATTTTTATACAATTTAGTTTATTTATTTTTAAGTTTAAAAGAAATTGCCAGGCGTTTACGATGCCGACGGCGAACCGGAAGGTGTGTAATATACAGACGTCAACAATTTTTTTGTCTATATTAGACCACCAAAAGTATGAACTAGCATAAGTTTTCATTTTCAAAATACCCTCATGAATAGAATGTAATTCCTTTAATAGTTTATTTTGTAACTTATGTGATGATATAATTACTTTATAACCCCTGATGATGATGCTGGAAAACTATAGCATAATTATATTATTGATTTTTAAAAATTCCCTTATTGAGTATATCAATAAGGGAATTTTTCTTGTCTCTGAATGAATTGAATTCAAGTCTGGGATAATTATTTTCTAAAAAAATAATATCGTACTCGTATGTTATTCGTGATTGAGTAATAAACACAAACATTTATGTTTATAATATTAGCAGGATGAATTCAATAAATCTTAGAGAATAAGTCGAAAATAAAAAAAACATTTAGAATATTTTGACACTATGTATTTGTTGCAGCTATTAAATGATGAAACAGCTATGTCTGAGATAGTAGAACATGCTCCATCCTTGGCAGACGACTGTGTAACTTTATCTTTACTACATGAAGTGGAGTTGTTGGCAGCTCTCGGGGCTAATGTGCAAACTATGCGTCGCGGTGCTAGTGCTCACCCAGACCTTCCCAATGCCCTGAGGCATCTTTTACGTCTTGTACATTCTGGTTCTAATACATCAACTGCATCTGACAATGGTAAAATCCGTTTTATTTATTACTTTAAATTTATGACATTTATTTTTACTTTAATTGATAGAGTAAGCACATACTTAAACCAGTAGATAAGGAAGAAAACTTTTGGTACGCTATGATGTTTTATAGTTATTGGGGGTACACTTTTTTTGTAGTGACAGTAAGAGTTCTTGTTTTCTGTCTTTCGCTGGTTTGAAATTTGACAAAAAACTGATAAGCTCATATTTACCTTGATTGGACCATATTTTTTGACTTGAAAACCTCCGTGGTCGAGTGGTATGTATGTGTAGGTATCAAGGCGTGTCGCCTACTCAGAGGGCCTGGGTTTGAAACCTGGTAGGAAAAATGTTAATATGACAAGTCATGGATGTTTATATATATATCTAGATAAATATACTTTAGAATATGTATCAGTATGTTTTTGTATCTATCTTTTAGCCTAGTATCCCGTAACACAAGTAGGGATGCAACATCGTTCTGAAAAACATCGATATTTTGAAACATCGATGTTTTTTTTATTTTTAATTGGATGCTTAATGAAGCATCCAATTAAATAATAATAAACAATTAACAATACCGCTCTATTCGGTGTAAGTATGCTCGATGCTTAAAGGTTAATAAAAATAAGAATTACATGATGGTAAATTAAATTATAACAAAATGATTCTCATCATTCAATTAGGCAAATAAATAAATTAATATGAACTGTCGGTTCACAAGCTGCTTTAATCAACAAGATATTTGTTTTGTCATTTTTCTTAACATTAAAATTATACGCCCATTTTTACGTACCCGCCAACAAAAACTTAAAGAAAAAACAAACCATCAAAACCTAACTACTTTATAAATTAATTCAACGAGTACATTACTCACCCAATCAAGAAATCTAAAATGTGTATAGGTATGTAGTCCAAGAATCAAATTATATTTAATCAAATTCATCTACGCATCAGCACAACTATGCAATGCGAACGAACGTCACAGTGATTCCGAAAATCCGAACAGACAGGAACAATGTCGATGTTTGTAAATGTAGTGAACGATGTATCGACGATATATCGCTCATCAAAACATCGATGTTAACATCGATATTTATGACCGATACCTCGATGTTTTACTAACATCGATGTATCGTTTGCATCCCTAAACACAAGCTATACAGTGCTTATTTTGGGACAAGGCTAATTGGTGTAAGTGTTAGAAATATTTATATAGTTTTAATGGTTATCGTTCACAGCTCCAACATCTGGTTTTGCTTATTCACTTGAAGCTCTCTCTGAGGATGAGGACGCTGATGACGAAGACAATGATGAGGGAGAGAGAAATCCCATAACTCAAGCACAGTTGGCTGCAGCATTACAAGTAAGCATAAATTATACTAAGCCAGTGGCACATTGGCTTGCACTTTCGGCCTGCGATAGTGGAAAAGCAATTTACGCAATGGTCGGTCATGGGATAGAAGTAGGACACCACAAATTTATTATCTCGAGGTCAATCGTGCTTCGTTAGGCACGTTATACCGTTGCACAGTGTGTTATGAGACCGTAAAATTCTCATTTATTTGATGAATCGTTTAGAGTTCATTTATGCAAATAGGCTAGAAAAACTCTCGTTTGAAAATTTCACTTAGTTTTCGAGATACAAAAATTCAAAAGTTAGTTATTTTTATCTTTTTAAAAAATGAAAAACATTCTTACTCGTAGACTAATAACATTTAATTTAGAGCCGTTATAATACTTCATAGGACTCTTAAAACTACACGTAATAAGCGTTTAAAGTGTTTTGTAAATGCTTGCAGTTAAATAAAAAAAAATCTTTTTGTTATATTTGTTTTTATTTTTTTTCTCCATTATACCATAATATATGCAAACTTTTTTAATCGCAAGATATAGTCTGATATTTTTTCTAGTTGTATAAAAAAATCAGCATTAAATGTCGTGGTATATTTGAGAAAAAACAAACTGAAAATATGCACCAGGGCTGTCACATAGAATTGTAAATTTCTTATAACTTTTTAAAAGCAAGAAATATTGCTTGGAGGTTTAAATATTTTATTAAAATCACACATATTAAGATTGAATCTTGTGTTCGATTATAGACAATGCCAGAGATGACAAAGGTCGAATGTCGGTGGAAAATACTTAAGCCCAGTAAAATTAGCTTTTAACCTTGGAATAGGAAGCGAGATATTTATGAAAAACCCGTTCTTATAAATATCTCGCTCCCTATTCCTATCTTTTCCCGTTCGAACTTAAATAACTTAAGACGCAGAAACTAGATCTTATATGATTATGAGATTTATGAGGTAACCTTTAAAACGTCAAAACAGAGATTTATAAAAAATATTAGCTATTATCTTCCTTCCCGAGATTTGACCCTCTTTTTGAGCTAATTTTATTGGATCTCAAAAAGCTTAATCTATTGATCGATATTAGTTCGATATTACAGAATGTTGGAGTTGATTTATCTATTTATTTAAATATTTTAAAGTTTATATATTTAACGTATGTTTGCATGAGATATTTTGTATAACCATACTCCATGGTATAGTTTATGTTAAATTTACAAAGCATTGAAAACTCCTCAATGTCGTCGTTTCTCTAGTTACGTTGTTGTTAGTTGTCAGTTCGTTGGAAAATACATAGTTTCGGTTAAAGTAGTGGTTTTATTAAAATAAAGTGAGTTTATAGTCTACAATTTGGTCCAAATCGAGCCAGATAGAAAAAAGAAAGTTTAAATAAGTAATAAGATGAAAATTAAGTAGTGAGAAAAATATTTTGTGATAAGTAATGGTGTTTGACATTTCAAACTGGAATTGAGTAAGACCGTAAAAATAAGAATATTATCTTACGTATTTGTGTTTCTAAAGACTTATTAACTGTGTTTACAAAAGAATTATAATAATTTAATATTGAATTGAGTGATTGAAAGACTTTTAATCATTATTATGAAAAAACATGAAAAATTATGGTAGGGTAAAAACACCAAATATTGGACGATTTGAAATTTAACTTTTTCTTAAAATAAAGTAACAATTACATGATGGAAGAACTTATAGTACTACAGGAAAATAACTTTGCACTTATACGAAAGGCTGTAGCTAATTTCAAAAAATCGCCAAAACCTAGATTGACAAAGAGTTATATTGAAGTAAGATTACAAAGTTTGGATAAACATTGGCAGGATTTTTGTGAAACACATCGAGATATTGTTAAACAATCTACATCCGAGCAAAGACAGATACACGAGTACTTTGAAAATGACTTCTATTCTACATGTGAAGACGAGTATCTTTTAAGTAAGTCAGATATGTAGTAAGTAAGTAGATAAAATGTGAAGAATGATCAGCAAATTCCATTGGAAAAGAATTCTCAGGAAGTGAAATTGCCTAAGATTAATATACCCAATTTCAAAGGAGATTATAATGAATGGGTTACTTTCAAAGATTTATATGTATCATTAATTCATAACAATAAGACATTAAGTAATGTACAAAAATTACATTATTTGAAAAGCAGTGTGAGTGGTGAACCAGAGCTTCTTCTAAAGCACATTCAAATCACAGAGAAGAATTATGAAACGGCGTGGTCTACATTACACCACAGATACAATAATAAAAGAATAATAGTAAATTCAATCCTGAATAGATTACTAGGCCAAAGAAAGTTATATTCTGAAACAGCGAAGGGAATAAAAGATCTCTTAGACACAACAAATGAGTGTTTGAACAGTTTGAGAAATAATGATGTTAAAACTGATAATTGGGATCCTTTGATCATTTACATCATTATAAATAAGTTGGATCAAAGTTCACATAAGTTGTGGGAAGAAGAGTTACAAAACTTAGCTGTTGAAGAGCTGCCTAGTTTAGAAACATTTACAAAATTTTTAGAAGGAAGATTTAGAGTTACGGAGATGATGCAAACTTCACATGCAAGAGAGAAAGACACTATCAAACCAAAGTCATTTGTCACAACTTCAAAGAATCACAATGATAAAAAAAATTCGGAGCCTAATATTAAATGTTCATACTGTAAACAAAATCATTACACAAGTAACTGTAAAGAATTTGGTAACCTAGATGCACCAAAGAGAACAGAGTATGCAAAAAATGAGAGATTATGTTTTAATTGTTTGCGACCTGGGCATAGTGTAAGATTTTGTCGAGTTAAAATAAGATGTAATATTTGTAAGCGGAAACATAATATACTACTACATTTAGAGAAACCGGAACTAGAGATTAATAGTACCACGAGAGAAATGAGAAATATAGACGAACAACCAATAAGTCAGAAAGTTTTGTCACATGCATCTACGCGAGGTCGAGTGTCATTATTAGCAACTGCATTAGTTCATATTGAGACAGGCAGAGGTCAGCAAATTGTACGAGCTCTAATAGATCCCTGCTCTGAAGAATCGTTTATAAGTGAAGCAGTTGTAAAGAAACTACAAATAAGATGCATAGAGAAAAAGGGACAAGTATCAGCAGTGGGACAAATGTCAACCCCGTTCTATCATGCGGCGGAGTTACAGCTGTCATCGAGAGTAAATAAAGAGTTTAAAATAAAATGCACTGCTTATGTTGTGAAGAACGTGACAGACATAATACCAGCTGCAAAAATAAACTATGAGCAATGGACTCACTTTAAAAATATAGAACTCGCAGATCCAACATTCCATGAGCCTAGTGAGATAGATCTGTTGCTTGGTGTACATGTGTATGCAGACATATTAATGAATGGAGTTATTAAGAGAAACCCAGGAGAACCCATCGCCCAGCAAACAAGTTTCGGATGGATAATCTCTGGTGGTGATTCAGTTGAAAGAATACCAAGCAATGGTCATATTATTAGCATGCACTTGAGTATTTCATTAGATAACATGCTACAAAGATTTTGGGAATGCGAATCATTTGAGAGTAAGAATAAAAATGCATTAACTTTAGAAGAAGAAAGAGCTGAAGAGATTTATGATAAAACGGTAGCAAGAGATAAAGAAGGTAGATATACTGTCGCCTTACCGTTTGCAAGAGATGTACCAATCTTACCTGAGAATTCGAAAGCCATAGCAATGAGAAGATTAAAGTGCTTAGAGAAAAGATTGAGTACAAATGAGAATTTAAAAAGAGAATATGATAAGGTACTTCGAGAATATATAATCTTAAATCATATGGAGTTAGTAACATGTAATAATGAGGAAGATACAGTCTACTTACCGCATCACGCGGTCGTGAGGGAAGATAAACAAACTTCGAAGGTGCGAGTAGTATTTGATGCTTCATGTCGAGGTAGTAATGGAGTATCACTTAATGATGAGTTATTGATAGGTCCTAATTTGCAAGGAGAGTTACGAGATATCATAATGAGATGGAGGACTTATAAAATTTGTTTTATAGGAGATCTCGTAAAAATGTATCGCCAAATACGAGTTTTTGAAAAGGACACAAACTATTAAAGAATATTATACAGATTTGATCTTAATGAAGAGGTAAAAACATATAAATTACTAACTGTCACTTTTGGCACTGCCTCTGCTCCTTACTTAGCAATAAAAACATTAAGGCAGCTAGGTAAAGATGAAGGTGTGCAATATCCAATAGCGAAATTAATATGTAAAGATTTTTTACATGGACGATGTATTATCTAGTTTTGAGGATGTCAAGTCTGCAAAAGAGGCACAAAACCAACTTTTCCAGATGTTAAAAAATGGAGGATTTGAGATGCAGAAGATATCATCTAATAGTCAAGAATTCATGATGTCAATAGATCCTGAATATAGAGCTAAATGTATAGAATCAGAATTCAATAACAAAGAGTGTATAAAGACATTAGGTATTTTATGGAATCCAGTGTAAGATATCTTGAAAATAGCACAGAAATATCTGAAAAACGAAAATTGTCAACAACTTACCAAGCGAAGCGTACTTCGCCAAATAGCTTCACTATTTGACCCCATGGGGTGGATTTCTCCTTCGATAATATTAGCTAAAATATTTATGCAAAAGTTATGGATCAGAAAGATTGACTGGGGTGAAGAACTTTCTGATGACCTGAAAAAAGAATGGTATAAATATAAAGAAGACTTACCTGTGCTCGAAGATATACAAATTCCAAGATGGACAGGATGTAGTACAGAAGCTGAGATAGAGTTACACGGCTTCCCAGACGCATCTCAAGTGGGCTACGCTGCCGTAGTCTATATCAGAGTACTGAACAAACATGGCAGAGATTATAGAGTCAGTTTAATCATATCTAAAACAAAGGTGGCGCCTGTCAAGCAAGTGTCTTTACCAAGACTTGAATTGTGTGCAGCCACGTTGTTGAGTAAGCTGTTAAAGCATGTTGGTGCAGTACTTGCAGTAA